GGCTCCCTTTTACGTTGTCCAGGACTCTCTGAGACCTACCCTGTGAACTTCCTATCACAGGGATCAGATGAGCGTCCCTTTGCGTAGGTTTTCTCTGCCTAATCATGCCTCCTCAGCTTTTACCTTTCACAGGCTATGTTCCCTATGTCCCAGGAAATTTCATGAACTCCTAACTCTACCTCCACAGCTGTTTCCTGATGGACATAATAACTAAAGCAAAGGACATATTCACAATTCACGTATCTGACAAAGGACAGAATACACAAAGAATCTTTGAAATAAAATAAGACAACCCAATTTTTTTTAGATGAACAAAGACTTCATTTAAAAAGATATGCAAATGGCAAACAAGCACAGGAAAAGATGTTCAATATCAAAAGACATTTGAAAAATGAAAAGTAAAAGCACAGATACCACCACACACCTATCAGAATAGCTAACATTATAAAGACTGACAATTCCAAGTGAGGAACTGGATGTGCAGCGACTGACATTTGCATACATTGCTGCTGGGAGTGTAAAATGGTACAATCACTTTGGAAATCAGTTTGGCAGTTTCTTAGAAAGTTAAACTTGTATTTGCCATATGATTCAACAATTACACTTCTAGACATTTACTTGAGAGAAATGAAAACTTGTACACAAAACAACTTGTTCAAAAATGTTTGTAGCAGCTTTATTTACAGTAGCCAAAAACTGGAAATGATGATACAAACAATAAGTGAATGAACAAACTCTAGTATATCTATACCATGGAAAGAGTACTTAGCCCTTAAAAAGAACAACGTACTGGTACATGCAATCACATGGATGAATCTCAGAAAGACTGAGTCAAAGAAGCCAAATACTTAAGAGGACACGATGTATGATTCCATTTCTATGAGATTCTAAAAATGGCAAAACTAATTTTGGGTGATAGAAATTAAATCAGAGTTTGCCTCAAGGAGTGAGGAACTGACTGCAAAGAAGTATGAGGAAATTTCCTAGGGTGATGGAAATTTCTATACCTTGATTCAGTGGTGGTTACACAGGGGTATACATTTATCAAAACTCATCAAACCCTACACACAAAATATATGCATATTACTACCTGTAAATTATACCTCAATAAAAATGATTTTTCAAAATGTATTCCTGGCATGTATAAATACTAAATAAACACTAAATACTAAACAAATATATAAATACTATACCTAATAGTATCTGTTGGTATAGCAAGTGGAATATTTATCTTTTACATTTAGATGATTATTGCTAGAAAATACAGAGGTTGTTGGTCAGTTTATTTTTCTTATAGCCAGTGGCCTTATCAAGTTCCCTTATCCTGTTGTTTTTAACAGAATTCCTTTGAGTTTCATATGCATATAATCATATAAACAGCACAAAGAAATAACTTCATCTTTTATTATCCAACATTTTATAGATTACCTTTCTGCATTTACTAGTCTTCAAAAGAACGTTGAATAATAATGGACATCACCAGATGGACTTTCTTTTCTCTACCTTAAAGGAAATATCTGAGTGTTTAGACTACTATTTGTACTTGGATTTTTCATAGTGTTTATCAATTTGTAGTTACCTTCCATTTCATTTTATTTTGTTAAATGATTCCAATGAAACATGCTTATAGATTTTCCAGTTTGCTTCCCTTGTAAAAAACATCCTGAATTACTCTTTTGATAAGGTACTGGATTCTCTTTTAAAGACATATTGACATATTCATAAGCTAACTTGAACTTGAGATTTTTTTTTTATACTACATCATATTACTCTAAGGCTGGCTTCACAAAATGATTTAGGGAGATTCTTTTTCCTAAGAAGATTGCCTAAGAGTATAAAATATTTAGTTATGCATTGTTGGTTTTTTTTAAAGATTTATTTCCTTCAGGAGAGGTAGGGAAGGGTAAAGGGAGAAGAGAAAATCTAAAGTGGACTCCCCACTGAGTGTGGAGCCCGTCTTGGGGCTCGATTTTAAGACCCTGAGACCATGACCTGAGTCAGAGGCTTAACCAACTGAGCCATCCAGGTGCTCCATCCATTGTTCTTTAAAGATTAAAATAAGGGATCCCTGGGTGGCGCAGTGGTTTGGCGCCTGCCTTTGGCCCAGGGCGCGATCCTGGAGACCTGGGATTGAATCCCACGTCAGGCTCCCGGTGCATGGAGCCTGCTTCTCCCTCTGCCTGTGTCTCTGCCTCTCTCTCTCTCTGTGACTATCATAAATTTAAAAAATAAAAATAAATAAAGATTAAAATAGATTTAATGGATTTACCTGTACATCAAGTCTTTGCTATTTTTTAAAGTGGATATTTAACCTCTAATTTATCTAAGATAATCAGTCTCTTCATGTTTTCTGTTTATTGGGTCAGTTTTATTAGAAAGCCATTCAAGGCTCCCAGGTTTTCAAATGTGTGGCTCTCAAATTTTAGTTAGTATAGTACTAGAAATTATTTCTGTAACATTACTCTTTCCCATTTCTACCCTATATAACTTTTTTTTTTTTTAATGAAGGTCAAAAGAGGATAATCTAGGGCACCTGGCTTGCTCAGTTGGTAGAGTATGTGACTCCTAATCTCAGAGTCAGGAGTTTGAACCCCATTTTGGTGTAGAGCTTATTTAAAAAAACACGAAGTAAAAAATAATACACACACACACACATTTGGGGCACCTGGCTGGCTCAGTTAATGGAGCACACAACTCGATCTCATAGTAGTCAGTTCAAGCCCCACAGTGGGCATAAAGCTTACTTAAAACAAACAAAAAAGGATTATCTATCTTCTTGGTTTCTTCAAAGAACCAGCTTTAGGATTTATTGATGTAAGTTTGGAGATTTTCTATTGTATTAATTTCAATTGATATTTTTATTGCTTCTCTTAGTAGCATTTTTGTTGCTAATTAAGATATATAACAAGTCTTTTTTTTTTTAATTATACATTTAACCCTATAGAATTGTCTCTGTACAACTTTCATCTGCTCCCATGTTTTCTGGTGGGAAGTGTTCAGATTTTAATTGCTTATTGTATGTCATTTTAATTTTTATTTCCTTTTTGATCTAATTGTTATTTCCAAAGGTGGTTTTAGGGTGCCTGGGTGGCTCAGTTGGTTGGGCCTCTGCCTTTGGCTCAGGTCATGATCCCGGAGTCCAGGCTCAGGCTCCCTGCCAACTGGGAGTCTGCTCCTCCTCTGCCCCTCACCCTGCTGGTGCTCTCTCCGTGTCTCTCAAATAAATAAAATCTTAAAAAAAAAAAAAAAAAAAAAGGTGATTCTCACACCCAGCTATTATAAATTATTGGAATGTATTTATTGTTGGATCATGATCAGAGAATATGACTTATAAAACGTCCGGGTTTTTACGTTATTTCATGTGGCCAACTATGGAGTATTCTTATACATAATTCCATGGACCTATCAAGTAAAAAATATATATGCATTATATACATAATATATATTGTATTCTGTGTGTATTCAATATCATGCACAATATATATTCCATATATAATATATAGTAACTAATATATAGTATGCATATATATGCAACATACATAAAATTAAAATTTTGCATGTAAATGCAAAATTCTGTGCATTTAAAATGATCACCTAAACCACCCACTCCCCCTGACACACAGGCTCATGGTTCCCCTTACTTTGCTCACTTTTTTTTTTTTTAAGATTTTATTTATTTATTCATGAGAGACAGAGAGAGAGAGGCAGAGACAGGAGGAGGGAGAAGCAGGCTCCTTGCAGGGAGCCCGACGCGGGCTGGATCCCAGGACCCCGGGGTCACGCCCTGGGCCGAAGGCAGGTGCTCCACCGCTGAGCTCCCCGGGCTGCCCAGCTCACTTATTTCTTTGCCTCACAGCATGTATCCATTATGATCTGGTAACAAACTACGTAATTCACCTATACGGTGCTTCTGGTTCATCCTGCCCCTTCCACCGGAACGTAAAGCGGAGGAGAGCTGCTAAGTCAGGTCTGTCCTTCCCTGACGTACCCCGAAAGCTGCAACGGTGCCTGGCGCCACAAAGTGCATCAAATAAATAAATCATCACCAACCCATCACCACGCAAAAAGCTAAACGGCGGGCAGGCAGCCCGGGGCGCTCAGCGGTGGAGCACCTGCCTTTGGCCCAGGGCGTGACCCAGGGGTCCTGGGTTCGAGTCCCACGTCGGGCTCCCTGCATGGAGCCTGCTTCTCCCTCTGCCTGTGTCTCTGCCCCTCTCTCTGTATCTCTCAAGAATAAATAAATAAATAATTTTTAAATGCATTAATTTGGGATGTCCAGGGGGGGCTCAGCGGTTTAGCATCTGCCTTCGCCCCAGGTCGTGACCCCGGTCTCGAGATCGAGTCCCGCATCGGGCTTCCTGCCTGGAGCCTGCTTTTCCCTCTGCCTGTGTCTCTGCCTCTCTCTGTGTGTCTAATGAATAAATAAACAAAATATTAAAAAAAATTAAAATAAAGCTGAACGGCCCGAGCCCCGGTGTGGGTTCCGTCACCCGCACGCGTCCCAGCGCCCCCGCCCCGGGTGGGGACCGGGCGGCGCCGAGCCCCTGCAGGTGCCCCAGGGCAGCCAGGCGGGCCAGCGGCGGGCCCCGAGACCCGGGAGAAGCGCCCTCCAGGGGCGCCCCGCATGGATGGAGCTCGGACTGGCCGCAGGAGCTACCTTTCCGGCCCTACAGTCCTGGGCCACTGACGGTTAAGGCCCGTGGACGTCAAACCCCTAAGATGCGCTGCGGGGAGCTTCCCAGACACCGAGACCTCGGCCGGTCGTCGCGCATCCACTGAACCACCGCCAACGGCTCCACCCCGGCCCGAAGGTGCCCTCCGCGGAGGTCCGGGTCGCACCGGCGCCGCGAGGGGTCCGGGGGCCGCCGCACCCGCCCGCGACCCCGCAGCACCGACTCCCGCGCCGCGGCCCGACCCGACGTCACGCACGCATGCGCGGCAGCCCCCGCCCCGACGCGCAGCCTTCGCCCCGCCCCTCGGACCGGAAGACGTGGCGGGCGCTTCCGGCGCCCGGCCGCCCCGCGGTTGCCTCGGTGATGTCGTGGGTTCGGAGGGCCCCGCTGGTGCGGGGTCCCGGAGAGGAAGGGGACGTGTTTGACGAGGAGGCGGACGAGTCTCTCCTGGTGCAGCGGGAATGGCGGAGCCACATGCAGAGACGAGTCAAAGTAAGGCTGCGTGGCGGGTGCGGGGGACACACGGCGGCTTGTGGAGAGAGGGGAGTGCGGGCGCGAGGGTGGAGGCCGCGGGGCCCGCGAGGGCTTTCCAGGGGGTTACCGAGGGGTTACCCGAAAGCGCGCGAGACCTCGGCGCGCTGGACGCTGGGAACAGACGCGAGCTACGTGTAGACCTGGCGGGGGTCGCCGTGCGGGGAGGTTCGCGGAGGACGGACGGGCTGCTCGAACGGGTCACGAGCCCAACGTCGGGAGTGGTTACCTTTTTTTTAATTTTATTTATTTATTTATAGAGATACAGAGAGAGAGAAGCAGGGAGCCCGACGCGGGACTCGATCCCGGGACCCCGGGGTCACGCCCTGGACTGAAGGTGGCGCTAAACCGCTGAGCGCCCCCGGGCTGCCGGGGAGTGGTTATTACCGGAGACACACGGGAAAGGTGAACCTAGGAATGTCCAGGAGCAGGGATGCCCGGGGGCTCAGCGGTGGAGCATCCGTCCTGAGCCCAGGGCGTGACCCCGGGGTCCCCGGATCGAGTCCCCCTGCATGGAGCCTGCTTCTCCCTCTGCCTGTGTCTCTGCCTCTCTCTCTCTCTCTCTCTCTCTCTCTGTCTCTCATGAATAAATAAAATCTTTAAAAAAAAATTAAAAGAAATAAGATCTTAAATAGTAATAATGATAAAAAGAAACGTCAAAGAGGAATAAAGGAAAGCTGCTGTGGAGTACCGTGGGGCTAGGTGAAGGAATACCAAAGTTGGCTGCTTTTTTATTTGCTGGGTGTGCATTATCTTTCTCTGCTTTGTCTCACTGTTCATGGAAACTAAGCTTAATGCCACGCCCTCAGTCTCCAGGTGGAGCAGTGGGAGCTGAGTTCACACGGCCAGGTCCACTTCCACCCAAGGCCTTTCCCAAGCAAAATACTGCCCGATTGGCCCTTGTTTGTTTCAGTGAAATGTTTGCTTAGCCCAACCACCACGTTACCAGTTTCAGAGACGCTTGATGTAAGGTCAGGGCCAGGCCAGTGAGTCGCGACCATCCTTGGAGTGCACTGGCACCAGAGGAGATGGAGACGCAGGACAGTATCCCCGCCCACAGGGAATTTGCCATTTATTTAAATTTAGATACCAGGCAAGATTTCTAAAACCACGCTTTGCATCTTTTTTTACTCACCCAGTTTCCTCTTTCCCTCCTTGAGCTGATTATTGAAGACCTCTGATAACCTCTTTTCTGCCCTACCTTCTCACCCAACGCCCATCAGTCAGTGTTGCCAAGGGGCCAGACATTAACTCTCTGTTTTCCTTCCTGTAAAGCCATTGTTAACACAGGGTTTTTAAAATCTGTATAAGAATCTATATTTTGGGGCAGCCCGGGTGGCCCAGTGGTTTAGCGTCTGCCTTTGACCCAGGGCCTGATACTGGAGTCCCAGGATCGAGTCCCACGTCGGGCTCCCTGCATGGATCCTGCTTCTCCCTCTGCCTGTGTCTCTGCCTCTCTCTCTCTCTCTCTCTCTCTGTCTCTCGTGAATAAATAAAATATATTTTTTAAAAAATCTGTATTTTTAAATGTGCCAAATAAGTCGACTCCAAAAGCGGGATATGCGAATAATAAACCTTGCTGGGAAGCATAGTCTGCTCGGGTTGTGTGGCTGTGCCATAGGTTGTAGAACCATTATGTTAAATAGTAAACAGCAGTAAAGGCCTGTTTCATCAACATTCTAAATCGGTTATATGACTTTCTAGACAAACCTAACAGTGGCTTACTTGGTGTTGATTACAGCTCCAGTTTTCTTCATTACTTATTTTTAGGAAGGCTATAGAGATGGAATAGATGCTGGCAAAGCTGTTACTCTTCAACAAGGCTTCAATCAAGGTTATAAGGAAGGTGCAGAAATCATTATAAACTACGGACAACTCAGAGGAACACTGAGGTAATTTTTTAAACTTAAACGCTGAGTCATTTTAACCTCAGTACTCCTGGAGGCCTTTTATAAAAATAGTATGTAAAAATAAAGTATTTAAACTGAAGTGCTTTTCCTAGTGTTAAATCCACAAAAGAGTACTATGGACCATAAAATAATACTGCCTTCAGAAAGTCATCTACTTGAACCATCAGTTGATCTACTTTAATATATGTCAGGTGTTGTCTCTTACTGCAAAGAAATGATAGGAACGTATATTTCGTGCTGCCTGAACTACCACCGATTTGTATCTCAAAAGTAATTCAAAAGCTCTTCAGGTTTTAAATAGAGCTTTTAATCTTGGACGTGGTAGAGCACAATAAAACAGACTTCTAGATTAGAAGTGCATGAGGAGAATTATATCTGGTCATAGAAAAATTATTCCATTTACTTGAGTGCTGAACACTGAATACCTGTCAAGATTCCATACTAATAATGGCACATATCAGAGCCAAGTGGTCAAATGGCAGAAGGAGCTAGGATAATGACATGCTTGTCATCTTGGAGGCTTTGTACCTTTTAAATTAGGAAAAAAACAAAAACATAAAATGGTTTGAAGAATCACTAATTTTTAAAATTAGTCTTTAAAAAATTTTTAAAGTTGGGATCCCTGGGTGGCGCAGCGGTTTGGCGCCTGCCTTTGGCCCAGGGCGTGATCGAATCCCACGTCGGGCTCCCGGTGCATGGAGCCTGCTTCTCCCTCTGCCTGTGTCTCTGCCTCTCTCTCTCTCTCTCTCTCTCTCTCTCTGTGTGTGTGTGTGTGTGACTGACATAAATAAATAAAAATTAAAAAAAAAAATTTTAAAGTTATCAAAACAAAATTCATTGAGGTTTTAGAAAATTCAACTGTCAGAAATCAGAATTAATAGTCTACAGTAGGAAAATGATCAAGTATTTTACATAAATCTTTTATAAGCACAGAAAGTTTATTGCTAAACCTTTTATGTCAACTGATTACATTTTTAAAACATGATTACTTCTCAGGGCACTGAGTGGCTCGCTCAGTTAAGCATCCAGCTCTTGATTTCTGCTCAGGTCATGATCTCAGGGTCAGCACTGAGCACAGCCTGCTTAAGGTTTTCTCTCTCCCTTGTTCTCTGCCCTTCCCTCCACCTCTCTCTTCCTCTCTTTAAAAAAATAAAAACAAACAGGATTACTTTCCACAACAATCATTATTTTATGTCGTGATTATCTGAACAATCTGAAATGGCAGAAAACAGAAGTCTTCTGTACTAGAAAAATAATATCTATTAGGACTAGAAGCATTCTTACCTTCAAGAAATGTATTAGCTCAACAAACAGTGATTACTCTATAACAAAGTCGGGGAAAGAAAAGTTGCCTCAAAACTTTTTTTTCTACCCTTTAGTTTTGATGGCAAGTAACCATATGGTCTGAACAATTGTTTTCAACCTTGGCTGCACCTTGCTATCAGCTGGGAAGCTTTAAAAACTAATATCCCCAGAGATTCTGATTTCATTGGTCTGGGATATAATATAGGCCTTGATATGATATAGCCGCCCGGGTAATTCTAATGTACATTCCACGTCTGAGAATCACTGGTCCAGAAACTGTGTGATATCCCTGAAGGAGATACTGATTTCTGTGACCTCTTTCCCTGAGTAGCATCCCTCTTGAGCAGAAGCTATACAGTCATAGAGAAAATCTAAAATCAAGAAAAGTGGATATGGAGTTGTGAAGGAGGCGTTAGGAATTATAAGCAATTTTTGTGATTACTTCTAGCTGTTTAATTTCTATCAAAAGATAATGTCTTTATATACTTTAAGATCCATTATTGCATCATTATTTTCCTGATTTTGGCTTGCATTATTGTTAATTCATTTTTGCATGGTATTATCTGGAAACGTGGGGTTTAGCATCAAAAATTGGAAAAGCCTATGATTAATTTTTTTCCTATTTAACTCTTGTTTATATTTTCATTCAGTGCTTTGCTCTCCTGGTGTCACCTTCATGATAATGGTTCGACTCTGATCAGTAAAATAAATAATCTTCTGGATGCAGTTGGCCAGTGTGAAGAGTATGTGCTCAAACATCTAAAATCAATCACTTCTCAGCCCCATGTTGTAGATTTATTGGACTCTATTCAGGATATGGACCTTTGTCATGTAGCTCCAACTGAGAAAAAGATGGATGAAGCTAAAGATGAAAGACTCTGTGAAAATAATGCTGAGCTTCACAAAAACTGTAGCAAGAGTCTTAGTGAGGCAGATTGTTCATCTTTAGAATGTTGTAGACTACAGGAGCATGCACATTCTGAAAACCCAAGCCTCGCTTGGATTTTAGAACAGACAGCCAGTTTAGTAAAACAGCTGGGAATATCACTTGACGTATTACAGCACCTCAAACAACTATAAAAATTTTCTTCATTTTTCTAATGAAAGTAGTGTTCAGAACATTTCTTAGAACATTTTATTTCTTAACAAACTAGCCAAAATTTGTACCAGTTTTCTACGTTGAATACGTACATGACTCGTAGGTAGATTATCCTTCATGCAAGTTTGCAATGTCTTCAAAATTAACACTATTAAATGTAATAAGGGCTTGTTTCTTTGTCACTGGTAATTTTTATGTCATTTAAGATATGCTCAGAAATTCTAGTTGCCATTGTCATTTTCAAGCTTCTGATCAAAATCAAGCATTTTCGGATTCTTTAGCAGCAGTGAACAAGAATCACATTTTGTAAGGACCTAACCCTGCTTTCTGCTCTTGTCACCATCAGGTATCTTATCACCAACTAATCAGACCAAAGTTACCATAAATAATCTAGTGGATAACATTGTAAATATATATAGATATATAGAAATATATATATTGAAATCAAGAGGCTATAAGTGTAAGAAACTGAAGAAATGTTTATATTCATGATTAAAAACAAAATATTAAAATTCATTTCTGTTTTTGTTTTTTATTCTCAAGTAATCTCTACACCCAACATTGGGCTGGAGCTCACAACCCCGAGATCAAGAGTCACATGCTTCTCCAATTGAGCCAGCCAGGCTTCCCATAAAATTCATTTTAGTTTTATGTTAAAGGCAAGGACACACAGTTCCATGGAAAATACAAAATACGTTTCATCCTCGAGTACCTAGTTTTTCCAAGTTTTAAGGAGTTGGTAGTGGTGTCCAACAATGTGCTGCATTATTTCTAAACTGCAGTTTTCTCACATAGTCACATAGGAATAAACACCAAAACCACTGACTTCTGTATTACCTTGTAGCGATATTCTTAGTCTAGCCTAGACAAAATTAGATTCAAGCTTTTGCTCCAGTACCTAAGCATATGAGATCAGAAAAAAAAAAATTTCAGCATTCTCTTGGCTAGAATACAAAGTTGTATGAGGTGCCTTCAGACCAGACCTTTTCTCTGAAACATAGATATACTAAGACAGAAAATCTGAGAAAATCAAGAGATTAATAAATATTCTGTGATCTCACAACCTCCTTTTAAGTTCACAGAACATCAAGAGGGGTGCCTGGCTGGTTCAGTTGGAGCATGCAACTCTTGATCTTGGGGTTGTGAGTTTGAGCCCCATTTTGGGTATAGAGATTGCTTAAAATATTTTTTTAAAGGTTCATAGAACATTAAGAAATTAAAGCAACAAATTTGAAGTCAGAAGACCATATACTGGAGTGGCTGGCTGGCTGGCTTAACTGGAGAAGCATGTGGTTCTTGATCTTGGGGTCATGAGTTCGAGTTCCGTGTTAGATGTAGAGATTACTTAAAATCTTTTTTAAAAATCAAAAAGAAGACCATATACTGTTTGAGGATTTCTAAAACATGTTGAAGGTATTAACATTTGACAGCTACTTAAAATGCTTAGGGGCATCTGGATGGCTCAGCCTGTTGAGTGTCCAACTCTTGGTTTTGGCTCAGGTCATGCTTAGGGTCCTGGGATCAAGCCCTGTTTGGCCTTTCATGCTTAGCAAGGAGTCTGCTTCAGGATTCCCTCTCCCTGTGCCCCACCCTCTCCCCCTGCACACACGCCCTCTCTCTCTCTAAAATAAATATATCTTTGGGGGCACTTGGGTGGCTCAGTTTGTTAAGCATCCGTCTTCAGCCCAGGTCATGATCTCAGGGGTCCTAGGATTATGCCTCGCATTAGGCTCTCTAACGGGAGTCTGCTTCTCCCTCTGTCTCTCAAAATTTTAAAAAATAACAAATCTCTTTTTTTTTAAGTGTTTATATCTCCCTAGATGTAAATACCATTTCAGATATTTACTAATTTGTCTTGTTATATCTATATATATTTCCAATATTTATGAACCAGCCAAAATCTCAAATCCACATGGGATGTTATAAGCAGTTCTAAAGTCTTGAAATACTATTATCTAATGATGCATCTCAAGAAAATTACCCTGAGTGAAAATTTGACAAGTGCAATATATCGAGATTTTTATCTGGGCTCACCCTACTAAGATTCTCTGAAGATAATACGCCTTGCCACCACTGATAATATAATATGGTGGTGTTGTGTTCATAGAAAAGGAAGTCAAGAGAATTAGCTGAGTTGATGAGACTGATCGAAAACATCTCTTAAACTTGTTTTGCCTTCTAAAGAAGTTTCTGGACTGCAGAGGAATGTTAATGGTATGCCCGTTATGCCTGTCTAATGAACATGAGCCTCTGTACTAGAAGTAGCAAGAGCGAGGGAAAGAAAGCTTGCTTGCTGTGTGTCTTTTGTCCTGACTTATATGCTATGGACCTGCCAGATGTTGCCATGAAAAGACCCTAGATGATCATAAAGGTAAAGCAAGACTGCCCCAGGGTAGGCACAGCCAGAGTTCTAAGGCCCAGAACACATCCGTGAGGTCTGAGCGATGTGGCCTCCTTACAAACAAATTTCACCTTAAATAATTTCTAGATGCTGAAATCCCTGGAGCCTTTTTGTTCATTTTAAGGGGAGGAAGAGTCCACAATACTTTGCTTTTTGGGCATTACAGTTGCTAGAGCTGCTGAGGCCACCAACATTTTTGTGATAGACAACAGGAAGTGGACAGCTAAATATACCTACCTGTATTCTTATCTCGTTTATATCCTTAGCACTGCTTATTAAGTGCTTTTGTGGTAAACCAAAATAAAAGCCTTGAACCAAGTCCAAGTTGGGATTCTCACCCATCTTCAAATTAAAGTCAAAGCTTTGTGTTCCAGTCTAAGAGAGGTAGGTAGGTAGATACATACATACATACATATATACAGGAAAAGTCCTTAACCTATTTTTAAGATCCTACTAATTTCAAATAAAAATCTTAACTAATTTCACACCAGTGGATGAAGTAAATGTCATAGGCTATGTTAACAAAGAACCAACCAGACTTCTGGCTCTACAGAAATCCTCTGATCTCCATTTTGATGCTACTTGACCCATAGTCAGCCTTTCTTGCTTCTGCTGTCACTGCCTCTTCCCAAACTTAGCAGAGGAGTCGGCTGTCGCCCTCAGACTGCTTTCTCCTCATTCACTCCTCAGCTTCCAACTGCTTTTTGCTAAGGTCACCGGTGGCCAAAGTCCCACAACTGGCCCTCTCTGACTTGTCTCCTCTGTCACTGGACATGGTGACCATCCCCTACTTTGCCAGTCCCTCCACTTGTCCTCTACAGCAGCACGTTTTCTTGTCCTGCTTACACTGTTCTCTCACTACTTCCCATCCTGCTAAGACTTCCCTTCTCTGCTCGCCTGAGGATTCCACACCTTCATTCTTGGACGTCTTTTGGTTTTTATACTCTAGCCAGATTGTCTCACTTGCTCCCACGGTTTCAATTATATTGACTATCCTAAAGCTGATGCTCCAAACCCCATTCCTCTCCCAAGCTCTAGACCTGCAGTTCCAACTGCAATTCCTCACACCTGTCTCTTACCTAGCTATAAAGCATGTCTAAAACTGACCTCATTTCCATTTTCTCCCCCCCACACACACCCAAACTGCATTGCCTTTTGCATTTGCAAATTTTTCATGTCATCTCTGTTCACTAAGAGCCAGGAATCTTTTTTTTAATTGAGACATAATTCATATATAACACTATATTAGTTTTAGGTGGCCAGTTAATAATGATTCGATATTTGTATATGTTGCAAAGTGGTCACCACAATGAGCCTAATTAACATCCATCACCACAAACGGTTATGATTTTTTTCTTGTAATGAAAACTTTTGAGATCTACTCCCTTAGTAACTTTCAAATATACAATGCAGTATTATTAACTGTAGTCACCATGCTACATATTATATCCCCATGACATTTATTTTATAACCGGAAGTTTGTAAAAGCTATAAACATTTAAGTCTTTCTCTGCTTTTCGTTTGCTTTCATACTCTACTTCCAATGGGGAGTTTATCCATCTTACTTAAAACATGCCTTGAAGGACACCTGGGTGGCTCAGTTAGTTAAGCATCTGCCTTCTGCTCAGGTCATGATCCCAGCCAGGGTCCTGGGATCGAGCCTGGTGTTGAGCTCCCTCTTCAGCAGAGACTGCTTATCCCCCTCCCCTATGCTCTTTCTCTCTCAAATAAATAACTCTTAAAAAAAAAAAAAAAAAAAAAAAAAAAAAAAACACCTGAAATAATTCAGAGATCAGGCCTCTTGTGGGCTCTGCACTGAGTGGGGAGTCCACTTGGGATTCTCTCTCTCCCTCTCCCTCTGCCCCCCAAATAAATCTTTCGAGGGAAAAAGGCAATATTTCTTACCAATCATTTAAAACTTCACTAATAGGGACGCCTGGGTGGCTCAGCGGTTAAGCACCTGCCTTCAACCCAGGACATGATCCTGGAGTCCCAGGATCAAGTCTCACTTCAGGCTCACTGCATGGAGCCTGCTTCTCTCTCTACCTGTGTCCCTGCCTCTCTCTCTCTCTCTCTCTCTCTCTCTCTCTCTCTGTCTCTCATGAATAAATAAAACTTTAAAAAATAATAAAACTGCACTAGTGAATAAAATTACAGTTAAATTTTTAAAAATACAAAATTATTTTTGGAGTAGTTTTAGCTATGAAGAAAGAAAGGACAGAAAGAAACCACAAGAAAAAAAAAACAATGAAAAAAAATACTTGTTTCCAGCAGGATGCCCGATACATAATCTCTGCTAGCAGTAAAGGAGCTGGAGGAAATGGAAGACTGAGAAATAGCTAACAAATACGGTGTGCACTATTCTGAAAACTTTGCATATAATAATTTGCTTATTTCTCACCATATCCCATGCAGCAGAGCTATTAATTATCCCCATCCTGGCAATGAGAAACTGAGGTCTTGAGAAAAAGTAACTCTTCAATTCCCCATTACTACATGGCCCATGGTTTGTGAGATTTAAAGCAAGGCAAAACTAGCTCCAGAGTTTGTTCTCAGGATAGATGTGTGCCGAGTAGTAGCCCAGTAGCAGGGGCTGTGTTTAGTAGAGGGACGATGAACTGTATTTCCCCCTCACTGTTCATTTCTACTTTTCTGCATTTTTTAAATCTCCAGTTTGCAAGTATAACTTTTTAATAAAATGTCCATAATAATCAGCAGCTACAAAGAACAAAAAAGTTTACCAGAAGCTTGTTTGCTGTATATCTAGAAAAAGAAAAATACCATTCCCTCCTGGGAGGGAGAGAATCTGTATCATGCAGAGAGTGGTACAGCCAAGTGCCTTTTGCATATTCAGAAATTAAATTCTCCTGGGACTCCCTAGGCATTCTACACTCCTCATGGAGAGGATAACTTGTGCCACCTCTTTTTGTGCTCATGCTCCTTTAGCTTTCATAAATTTCTAGTCAACTTTCAGAAGCAGGGTGTGGGCTCACCGCTTGCAAACACATGCATTGCTACAGATGTGTCACAAAGAGCCGAGAGTCCTAGCCCCGCACCAAACGCCATTCCTTGCCCGATCTTTCCAAAAAGACGTTTCCACAAGACCTACCTGTGA